TTTTGTTTGTTGAATCAAGTTACTCTCTTCTTGTCTTATTTCCGATCTAATTCTGCTACGAATTCTATTCATAAAAATTCTAATGGCAAGTTCACTTACGTAGTTCATTATGCTGGTTATCCGAGGAGTTCGCATTCATTTACACTTGGCTTCTTTGGTATCTCTATGAAGAAAGACCTACTGAATACTTCCTGTATTTCATCTTTGTCATATTTTTATTAAATATTTTAGTAATCTTATCAATCTCAAATTCGTCTAAGTTTTGTATGACGTACAGCAGTACGATCTCATCTTGCTATTATGCGTATATCTGTCTTGGCTATAGTAGACTTTTCCTTGGGGGAAAGATTGGTCATCTGGAAAGGTTATTCTAGTCTCCCCACCAAAGGACTGAATTTTGGTCAAACAGGGTGCTACCTTTATCGTGAGATATAAACGCATGCCTACTATTAGTGGAGCTACAAATATCTGGTTTTCATCTCCACTCGACCACCTTCATCATACACGTAAGACATTTTTGGGAGGTTTTCCATTTGGAACGTGATGGTTATCGCATTTTATTGAATATTTTTCTTGCCTTCGTTGGTCTTTATAATCTCAATTTGTGAGATTGTAATTATGTAAGATTTCCTTCCTTAATTTTCGTCTTGTTTTTTGAAGCCCTATTTTCGAGAAGATCAGTGTTATCATGTAAAGATTCTGTTATGATAGGTATTCTCTCTGACAGATGTAGTCTCACCGAGAGAAGATAGCTACCCCATCGGCATAGCGATAGTATCTTTTATACAGAACCTAATTTACATATCACTACACCTTCCCGAACGTAAGAGGCATTATACCTTTACTTAGTCTTTGAATTCTACGAACAACCCTGGGAGACATAATCCGTCTCTCAGAGTGAGTCTCTATTTCTTTTTATTGGAGATCTAGATCTTAACTGATTCTCCTCATTGGGATCATCATGATACCTCCGATCACTCTCATTCCAAGATTGTTACTCATTCAAATTGCATACCAGTTGGGCATCTCGACGTGGTGTAATGCTTAGCAAACTTCGCTCGCTAGAGCAATTACGAGTGAGTTCGATCCACACATACTTCATCCCTGTGCCACGTCTAAGCTACGCTTAGAAAATCATCATATTGCATAATAATTTCGTTCGATCTCTGTCTACTTTCGAGGAATTTAGTTCTTTCCGCTATGATCAATGTTTTTCTTAGTCGTACATTTAAATTTGCTTTTATGATAAGCGCAATTTCTTCTTAGGTTAAATCTTTCAACATTTTGGGATGGACAATGACGGAGATCTTTTTATGGTTTCACACCTGGCTGAAGCCTAAAACAAATCCATAACTTCATTTTCTCCTTCATTGGCTTTGATGTCATTTAACTTCTTTAATCTCGCCGACGCTACGAAACACGTAAGCCAGGCTTCCACATATTCAAGATCCTCCATCGCGGTTAAATAACCGGTTGGCGACGCCATATTATGTTAGGCATTCTCTTTAACAGATGCATTCTCGTCAAAAGAAGATAACTTCCCCGCAGGTATAGCGATACTGCCTTTTATACAAAACCTAATTTACATATCACTACAGATGTCCTTGTGGATTGTTTGTTTGGGGTGGGTGTGTCTTTGCAGTAAATCCAAAATGTTATATTTTTTAAAAAATTATTTGATTTTCTCCTATTGTAAATTTTTCTCTTAGAATAAAAAATCAATAATTAAATAAAAACGAAATCTACAAAAGAAAATCAAAAACTGAAAGAATGAAAAGTAAAATAAAAACTAATTAAAATTAATACAAATTAAAATTAAACGAAAAAAGCGACGAAAAAATGAGCATACTCGCCTCAAAGAAACTAGGGCTGACTACATGATCAAGGACACAAATAATTCATTGACAGGGTGAATGACAGCAAATTGATCTATTTCAAGAGACGCACGAAGCATTAAAAAAAAGACAATTTTTTTTATTAAAGTTTCAATGGGCTCTCAATAAAACCATTCGTAATTTAATTTTTACAGCTATGAACTTGTTAAAGAAACCAGTTAATTATATTTTAACAGAAAAATAAATGTGTTTTTATGCGTTTTTATTTTAAATATTTTTTATTTCATTATAGAAGAAGCAATTTATGCTATCTTTGTTTTCAATTTTTCAATTACGTATAGCTTAAAGAAAGCTTCCGAAGATTACGATCACAGGTGCATCTTCGAATCCTTTTGTTCCAACATTATAAAAAGAATTAAAAATCGTTGTTAAGAACTGATGAAAAACATTTATAATGACAAATTAATGTAAATTTTTCGATTTGCAAATCCATAATGATGGCAGTATGAAATAAAATATAATAGTCATATAAGATCTTCATTATGTGTGTAAAATGATGATTACGTCATATTAACTTTAGTTTAAACGATGACCCGACTTAGACAACAGTTAACTGCATATATATATTACTGAAGTATATATGGAGTACAAAGATTATGCCTCAACAGAAATACTGCCATATCAAAATGTCCGCTTTTAGAACGATCTGTTTGACAAAATAAATCCAATTATAGACAACGAAACCGAATCTTCAGTGCAATGTTTCTTTTTAAGCCTATTTAATTTCTTTGAAACAAACTATCACCCACTAGTGGGTAGTAATTTCGAAATTGAAGATCCCACTTTATAACATAGAGACAATGTCATGGTGAAAAGAGGAAAGATGCAATGAAGCTAATTTGAGTAGAAGAATTAATCGAAGCGATTCAAATAAGCTTTCTTTTTTTTTTAAAATTACATCTTATTTTTACAAGTCTCTGTTTCACAACGAACAATAATGAAACATTCCACTGTTATTGATGGCGTTACAGTTATTTTTCTTCATCATAGAAACAATATAATTAAGACCATTATAATATAATTAAGTCCATTTTCATGTAGTTTAAACAAATAGTTTCCAAATGTTATGATCGCATGAGTATTTTTATGCAAATATTCAGTTTTCCAACAATACGATGCTCCTGCTGCAATATGCTCTTTAAGAGCATACTGTAACATGATTTGTGTATTTGAATAAATTAGTTTTGTATCTAATAAGATTATTTATCTTATTGTTGTAGCATACCTACGGATGATATTGGGTATGCCCCAGTTCTCATAAATACAGTAGTGAATACTGTATGTGTTGGTCCGCGGTCGGAGATTCGTTGTGGAATTCACTTGACTAGCTTCTAGCAGTTGACTACTTCTACGCGAGGCTGGCGAATCTTATATGTGTTGTTCTTGTCCTAAGTATTATCGTTCATTACCAACCTTGGTGTGATTATTCTATTCCGTAACCTTCTCTGGGTTACAACACTTATCAACAATAAAAGTTATTTCTGAGTTATTTTCGAGAAAAATTTTAGCCCGACCATAAAGAGAATTTCTTCCAAATTTTGATATTTTCTCAGTTTCGGACCGAAAACTTTTGAATCGCGATTTTGCATATACATTTATATATAATTAAACATAAAAATAACTTAAAAACGAAAGTAGTTCTTTAATAGCCTTGTTGCCAACCCCATTGAAAAATATCTAAACTGTCGGCTATATACAACCCTATATTTCAGATCGATGTCTAAAAATGGTTTTGAGCAAATTAAGCCGGTATGTCTGAGTAAAGACCATCCTTATTTAAATCGTATGGGCTGGTTCTACAGAATTACAAACAAAGAATTGTATCAAATAACTGAAACCACATCACTAGAAGACTTTCAACCGCAGCAACAATTAAAATGGATAGCACATGTAACTCGAAGAGAAAATAATGAGATAATCAAGATGCTGACATTCCACACGACTGCAAACAAAAGGCCAGGAAGGAAACTCCATAAATATTGAAAAGGGCATTAACAACGAATGAACCTGAGAAACATATTTTCCTGAGAAGTTGTTTTAAGAGAAAGATTTTTTTAAAAATTCAAACGACAGCAAGTCTAAATGCTCGGTCAATGAATGTTGAATGTTTCCTTTTAAGGAAACGTCTAATATTATCATTAACATTACCAAACGCTTAAACGCATTTTGTAACTCCAGTGAAATCAAGATGGATTTTCTTTTTTTTTTAAGCATTCTTACATAAAGCATTTAAAATTCATGCTATGTTTTGTTATTTATTCATAATTCAGTTTGCGTTGATAACGAACATCGCTTTTTATAACGCAAATTAAATCAAGGTAGATTTTTAAGTTAAAAGCATTCTTCATACACCATTTGGAATTCTTTCTAATTTTCTTATTACTCTGATGATAATTATGCAATTTCCTGTATGGTTAACTTGAAAAGCTGGATATTTTAAAAATGATATCAAGGTTTGTTTATATATAGGATAAAATTCTACACAAACCACTGAATATTTTGAGAAGATTGATCAATTTGTTCTCTTTTCTAAGCGTTCTCCAGATCACATCTCTCAAAATTATTCTCATAAATTTTCTATATTTTTCTTTGCTATAAGGAAGCCATTTATTGTCATAAGTCTTTGAAATCTTTGGGGTTGGACATCGTGTACCTGTGTGTGTGTGCGAGCGAGCGCGCACATTAAAATGAATAAAATTTATTAATCTATTCTTTTATATATTTATAGCAAATTGAGAAAATTGGAAAATTTTTGAATGAATATTGAAAATGGGAAATTTGTAAGAACCTTTTAAATTTTATCAAGTTCTTTGAAACCAGTTTTATTTTGTAAAAACCTATTCATACATTAGAAGACTTTCTTCCAACTAAATTCACCATTGTTAAAATGTTCGATTGGAGCTCGTGTAAAATATATTCGATTTTTTTAAAATATGAGAACAGAATTTTCAGACATAAATTATTATTTTATTCACATATGTAATTCTATTCTTTACCCTTCTTTTGTTCTCATGAAATATGCACAATTTGATTTTTCTTGACTTATTTTAGCATTTTATTTTAGGTTCAAATCAACGTTTGGCGCTTGTGACGAACGTTTCCACAATGGTAAGAATTTGATATTTGGACAGGCAAATTCAGTATTTTAGTCGGTAAATTTATATTTGGATAGTTCTAAATTTACAATATTTTCTCGAATTTTTATGAGATCAATCATTTTCAACCATTATTACTTTTTGATGAATATTTCATTAATCTTGATATCAATTACTTTTCATCACATCTACTTGCAATTTATATAAATAATTGAAATTAATACGAATAAAAAATAATGACTGCTTCACCGACTGATGTAATCGTAAATAATATTTCATATCTAGACACTGATATTTTAAAACCAAATTTAAATTTACCGGATTTTCTTTACTTTTTCATTTTTTTAACAACTATACAAAGCCTTTTTGTAAAAATTTGTTCAAAACGTTAGTACTAAGAATGTTATCCCAATATTTTTCATTTTATTTTAACGGTTACATTTTAAGATGTTATTTTTTGTTTTCATGTAAAAATTTAATTTTTTATCAGATTTCTGTTTGACTTCTTTAAAAAGGAATAAGTTAACATTTTTAAATCAATTGTGACTGAAAATTAATTGAAATCTATACGTGAATAAAAAACACAAGCAAAACTTCTATATTTCTACGATTACTTGCTTGAACGGTTAGTCTGACGTTGAAAAAATTGCTTTGTAAATAAACAAGATATTATTCCAAAATATAGAACTTGTTCAGCCAACCTGACTGAAATGCAGTACAGACATTTTTCAATTAATCACAATGACCTAGAACACCGATGTTCAACTGAGAATTACATAGATGATCAAAGTGGTATTCACTGAAATTTTGGACAAATCTCGTACATCTCTTCCTGAACTGGGCTTGAAATTTCACCATTCAATGTTGTTCATTTAGAAAAATCGTTAAGATATATCTGTGTTCGTTTTACCTGGTTTAATAAATTTTCCAGTAAAATATCAATCAATGACAATAAGCTTAATTTTACAAGAATTGTTAAACTATCGGCATCGATTTTATAAGCAGCCAATTTATTTAAAAATCTAATTTTTTAAATTGTTTTTATGTTTAGGTCGATCGAATTATGATCCTACCCTTTGGAGTTATTTTAATCGTTGTTTTGTTGCTACCAATGTCAGCAACAGAACCGTGCGACATGAAAGCTGATGTTTGCGAATATAAGTTTATTGTTGCTTATCAATTGACAATGGTGAAAGGAAAACAACTTCTGAAAGCTGTGAATGGTAAACTCTATCCTGTTGAAACCGTGAATATAAGTACAGCGACCCCTGTTCCAGAAGACGAGGTAATTACAATGGATGGCTATTCAGAGTCTCGACTAGTTGTTGCAATTAATGGAACAATCCCAGGTCCGGCAATCGAAGCTTACATTGGCCAGACTGTGATTGTCTACGTTGAAAATCACCTATACGCTAGTGACGTTACAATTCATTGGCATGGATTGCACCAAAAAGGCACACCCTTCATGGACGGGGTTCCCTACGTAACCCAATGTCCTATAGGTCCATCACAATCGTTTGCATATAAGTTTAATCTTACACAAATCGGGACATATTGGTATCATTCACATGTTGGCACTCAAAGGACCATGGGACTCTATGGCGCATTTATTATTAGAGAAAGAAAGTCGACTCCAGTATTAGAACATATTATGGTTGTTACCGATTACAATCATCAGTGGGATTCCGATTTAGCTTACCTTAAGATGGTGCATGGTTTGTACTATAACCAAAAAAGGATTGAAAAAACTCGTTCATTGGACGGATCATTTTTCAGTCTTTTCAATTTTCATTCCGGTATAGTCAATGGCCGTGGACGATTCTATAGTCAACCAGGTGTTCATAACGAAGCGCCTCTTGCTAAATTCACTGTTAAACCAGGAAAAAAATATCGTTTCAGAGTCATAGCGGCTGGTGCTCTGTATCCGTTTGAGATTTCTGTTGATGGTCACAAATTGCAGATTGTTGCTTCGGATGGTTTTGAATTGGAGCCATATGCAGCAGATGTTTTGCTTATAAACCCTGGAGAAAGGTTTGACTTTATCATTACAGCTAATGAAACAATTGGAAATTATTGGATCCGAGGAATAACTACGGAAATTAAAAAGAACCACACATTTGAAGCTATTCTTCATTACGAGGGTGCTCCTGATGAAGAACCGAATTCATCACCAAAGAATTGCACGCAAGATGATCCCTGTGAGGTTTTAAATTGCGCATTTTTGTTTTACCCAGTGGAAGAATATCGAAAATGTATCTTATTATCTGAAATGAACTCTGCTTTTGATTATGAAGTGCCTCGTGTCGTACCTGGAAAATGGAAAGAATACTTTTTAAATTTTGCTTTTCCGGGTGAACACTCGGGTTCAGTGAATGGACGAAAATTCGTGGAGCCGTCCGTAAACTCACTCTACCAACCCAACGAAGTTGATACATTATGTGACAAGAAAAACTGCGGAGTTGACCGTATATGTAGGTGTGCTTACTCTTTAAAACTAACCAAGGACGATACTATTCAAATGATCCTCCTAAACATGGGAATGGGTAAAGGTTTCCATCATCCAATTCACATGCATGGACACTCGTTTTCAGTTTTAAAAATGGGTTATCCCAACTTTAATAAAACCACTGGTGTAATCATAGCCGATACTCCCGATGTCGACTGTCGTGGTGACCCGAAGAAGAATTATTGTAATGATGCTGCCTGGACCAATAGCAACTGGGGTGGTGACAACATCCCAGGAATTAAATTAAAAAGAGCTCCACTGAAGGACACTCTCATTATACCGTCGGGTGGCTACGCTGTTATTCGGATCAAGGCCGATAACCCAGGTCTGTGGTTCATGCACTGTCACATTGAAATGCACAGTATGATGGGAATGGCAATGATTCTGAATGAATCTTTTGTTGATGTGGTTAAAGCGCCGGATTATTTTCCTGTGTGTCGAAGTTTCACACCTGAAGCAATCAGTCGGATACCAATTGTTGCAGAAACCAGTACCAGTAGAGCATCGGAAAGTACGACGCCATCAATTTATCAAAAAGCTGAATCTGAAGAAGGTAATTATAAATTTCTGGATATAAATGTCTTTTATTTATTCACTAGAAACAAAAATAAAATGTTTTATACAACGATTAAAAAAACTTGGTGGACATTTTAAAACATTTCTGTTGTGGATTCCGGGATGAATGACAAACGCAGGAATGAAATATAGTAAATAAATATATTGACGTAATAATACAATTGGTAATACGGTTAGTAGATTCAGAAATGCGGTTAGTAGCAATAACAATAATTTCATGACGTATTTTTTTGTTTTGCCGTTAAATTTCACGGCAAAACAAAAAACGTCATAAAATGTGTGTGCTTTTCCATTTCTGCATCGCCAGTGTATTACGTTACAAACCATTTATTTTTTCGTCCCGAATCCACTATTTTTTTTTTAATTTGTTTTTATTTTTTCGTAACGTTTGTGGACGACGACGAGAGAAATTTTTTGTTGTTTGTTCTTCCTGTGAGAGTTCAAATCGCTCGTCGTCAATTTGTTTTGGACGAGGGAGAATTTTCTATTTCTTATTCTCGTGTGAGTTCGAATCACACGTCGCCAATTCGCTGTGGACGACGAGGGAAAGTTTTTGTTGTTTTTTCTTCCCGTGTGAGTTCGAATCTTCGTCGCCAATTTGTTGTGGATTCCGGGAGGAAATCCGGTCTCAAATGAATGACAAACGCAGGAATTAAATATAGCAAATAAATGTATTGACGTAATAATACAATTGGTAATACCGTTAGTAGATCCAGAAATGCGGTTAGTAGCAATAATAATATATATACAGTCTGGGAAACCGAAGTAGGACTTCCTTCTGAGTCTACGTGCTTGCAACTGTGACTCCTACAAAGCGGTTACCTCACACTCTTACTTTCTCTATTACTCTACTTCTTAATGACTTCCGGGTATTCACCGGCAGCAGTACAAATACACACTGGTCGAGTCCACTTGTATGAAAAAGGGGTGAACCCCATAACAGTAACAGGAGTTAGTATTTTTTCTCTTATGGTTGATAATCAGGAGTTCGGTAAATTTTCTCTTCCTGTTTGACCTTCTCATTTCTGTGTCTTCCTGCGGTCTTTGGATCTCAAACGCTTCGAAGATTGCATCCATAGAATCGTCCATTCGATCTCGGGTGGTACGGAGCTATTTTGATATGCCTTACTTGATATGTCTCACAAAATTCTTTGAAGTCATTGGATGTAAATTGTGTGCCGTTATCGCTTACCAAATAATCCGCGACGCCAAATCTCGTGAATAGTTCGTGTAAACAGTTTATGGTGTTTTCTGTCGTCGGTGTTTAAATCTGGCAACCTCTGGCCATTTACTAAAAATATCTACTGTTATTAAATAGTAGTAACCTTCAATGAGTCCTGCGTAATCCACGTGGATTCTGGACCACGGTCTGTCGACTTTAGGCCATGGCTTTTGTATAGAGGGTGGTGCTTTCGCCGCAACAGCACAACCTTTGCAACTTTCCACCATTTGCATAATATCATCGTCCATGTTCACTCTCACTCTTACTCTCTCTATTACTCTACCTCTTACTGACTTCCGGGTATTCACCGGCAGCAGTACAAATACACTCTGGTCGAGTCCACTTGTATGAAAAAGGGGTGGACCCCATAACAATTTCAGTACTCATTTCTTTGTTTCAACCGAAATTTCCCCATCTCTTAATACCATGAATCTCGCTTTTCACGTGCCTTTTTTTATTTCTGTGCCACGTTTTCTGTCATCTGTGACTAAATTACCAGTCAAATTTGTGAAACTGCTTCGTTCTGACATCTCTAATTCATAGTTCACGCATTGGGCTATGAATTGGCCATACATTCTGTCAACTTAAAGTTAATATTTGTCTATATTTCTGAGATGAGTTATTATATACACTATTTGCATTATTCGGACCATATGTTGCCATATTTATCACAACGTTTCGGCCGTTGTACACTCCGGCCTTCGTCAGTTGGTTGGAATGTTGAACTGAACCCTTTATTTCGCTCGCTGGGGTAGACTGTTCTAGTTCCTGCTAATCTCCTCTTAATTCCTTTCTCCAAGTTCTCCACCGCCTTAAACTCACACTCCTTGGGTCAGTCACTGGATCTAACTAAAGCCTTTATTCACTATCCTATGTGTCCCTGAGGATATCTGAGTGTGAATTTCTGAGTATTAAAAACCTAATGTCTTCAGTAACAATATTTTATCAGTACCCATATTTCAATTTTGTTGTTATCATTTATGTTCTTTACCAGAACTCATATTCCAATTTTCGTTGTTATTATCGCTTTACTCTGGCACTCCTTATTACTGATTACCATATTGTACTCATTCCTATGCAGCAGCCTTAAGCCAACACACACACACACACACACACACACACACACACACACACACACACACACACACACACGCGCGCACACAAACACACACACACACATACACACACCACAACACAAAACACTTTATCGTTTCAGACAAGTTACGGTTTGTAACTATCAAAGGTGAGCAGGAAACACCAATAAACTAATTCTTTCGTCAATTTGAAGAGTTCATCTCTTGAATCTTAAATCCAATTTGAGTATCATGTAAATTGGCGTAAGAATGCTCTCTCGTTTGTTGCTAATTTCAACATGGAATGAGTTGTTATTTCTGTTATACACATGCAAGTAGAAAAGTAATTATCTCCTTTTTTTCTTTTTAGTTCTTCCTTTCTTTGTTTAGTTGCTTCCATTTGTTTTCTTTTTCACGTTTCTTCAACACACACACACACACACACACACACACACACACACACACACACACACACACACGAAGGCATAAAACAAGCTTATACCTAGGTATGGTGATCTAGTATGGTACAAGGACGCATGTAAACTAAGTTTAACTAACCATTGATTAACCACACGTAGCCTTAGTTTAGTTTTTAAAATATTTCTTTAACAATGAAGAAAAATACATATATTTTCATTAAAGCCGGGAAATTATATATTTTTGTTATATTAATTTCATTGTATATATATATATTTTTTTTTTTTTCAGATCGAAAAATTGAAATAATGACCTTTGGAATTCTTATTGCCGTTATTTGCGTCCTCTCTTTGGTCATCATTGTTTTAATTTTCGTACTGTCAAAGAGAAGACTTCAATAAAATACTAAAATGAACAATATTTTTTGAGAAGGAGAAAGGACGGTAAGAAAAAGAAGAAAAATTGAAACGGAAAGTCAAAAACAAAATTATTGTTGTATTTCAATCTTATTTTTAAATTTTAATTTCGTTCTATTTTTGCCATTTCCAAGATGATCACTATTTTTAAAACATTTTATTAAAGCGCTCATTTTGAAGAAGAACAGCGTAAACCATTTATCAATCTGATATAATAATATTACGTATAACATGTAATCTATTCTTCATTATTTCCAGTCTCTGACTTTTAGACTGAAAAAAGACGAGATTACTTTAAGAGTAGTTGCAATGTTTCATTCATAAAACAATGCTTGGCCATCGTCGGTAACACTAAATGTGTATTCAAACAGAATTATACAATATTTAATCTGCTAAACAACACTTTTGCTACAGAAATGCAATGGAATCTTCGTTCTGTAAACTGAAAACCTGTATTAAATCATTTTTTTACACACATTGTGTTGCATGGTCATTTATGTCTTTTTCATGATTTGCTTCCATCGATATTTGCGATCACAACAGTTTCTTAACTGACAGAAAATAACCTTACAAAAGTTGAACAAAATGAAGGCTGATCTAATTAATTTTTTATTTATACTTTTCATTCATAACCTTATAAATACATGAATATAGACTGAACAGCACGCGATAATATACAATTATATGACAATTAATGTGGCGCTAGATCAATTTTGCCTTTAACTATTCATGGATCTTCATCAAACACACGGCAACCATATTCCCAACTCAAGCTAGAATATTCAACAGAGATCATCTAAATCTATAACTGCACCAAAAACATGTTAGGAATATATAACTGTCCCTAAACATGTTGCAAATCATAAAAATGGCTAGTATACCACGAACACCCACCCGCATACACAATTTATGACTGCAAAACAAGTTACGGTTGTCCACTAAACGGGAATTGCCTACAAAATAAGGTAATATGTCAAGGTACAATACTATGCAAAGAAAACCAAGAAAAAATATAAGAATAATAGATGATCCCTGGAAACTGAGAAGCTGTTCAATAGCTGCTATTTTGTAATACCAGTTAACAACGAAAAACATGCAAACATCACAATCGTTTCAAAGCATATATGGAAGGTTAAAACACATAAAAATGACACAAATGTACGAAAAACACTACCTGCTTATAACAACACCTAAAAAAAAAAAAACAACCAAAAAAACAAAACAAAACAACAACAAAAAAGACAAACAAACATTTAGCTAGAGGAGAAAATAATGGCAATCCCCTTTCCAGAATAAAATAAATTTCTAAAGAAAAGGTAAGCGTTCATTTCTAAATTTCAAATACAAAAAATTCCTACTGTGCACATATGATCATATAATGACCAAAATAGTAATGATATATATACACAACAAGCTGTGTGGCAGTTTATTAGTTAGGCGATGATTTTTCTGCTTATCCTTAAGTTACTTTCCTTTATTCTACAATTGTAACATTTGATCTACTTTTTAAGTTTCTAGTGAAGTAATGAATCTAAATTTTGTAAATGAATATATCCTACTTGCGATTACAGTTTGTTAAAAAACTTTATCAGGGCATGTTTAGTTTGGTAGAACAAACACATTTCAACAGACATGGGAATACAGGAGCAGTTTTAAGCCCTCGTATTGGAACCCACAGCATATCGTTTCAGACAAGTTATAGTGATTAATAAAGATGATTAGAAAATACCAATAAGCTTATTCTTTCGCCAGTTTGAAGAGTGGATCTCTTCAATTCTTAATTCATATTTGAGCATCATACAAATTGGCTGTTTAAGTTGTTCCTAATATCAATTCTTAATGAGTTTTATCATTTGGGCTATTTGCTTATAGACATACAAGTAGAAATAGTGATTATCTCCCCTTTTTTAAGTACTTACTTTCATTACTCCTTTGTCTTGTTCTTTTCTATTTTTCTTTTTCACGTCCATTTAGCTCATACACACACCCCATGCAGGAATACGCAAAACAAGATTATACCCACATAAACTGATCTTCTTGTCTAGTACACGCGAAATCTAATTAGTAGGTTAATTAACCACTGATTCACACTGAGGTGCATTAGTTGTTAAAGTTTACCTTAACATTGAAGAAAAATTAAAAAAAAAACTTTCGAAAAGATTTTCATTGAATTCGGGAAACTGCATATGATTTTTCTATTATATTAATTTCAGTTCACACACTCACATAAACACACACACACACAAACACACACACACATATAATATATATATAATATATATATGATATATATAATATATATAATATATATATGATATATATAATATATAATATAAATATAATGTACATATATACATATATAAAATATATATAATATCTATATAAAATATATATAATATATATATATATATATATATATATATATGCAATATATTCATATATATATATATATATATATATATATATATATATATATATAGATAGATAGATAGATAGATAGATGAATGAATATTAGTGGTAAATATACACATACATATGCAAAATATATACATGCATGCATACACATACATATATATTTTGAATAAAAAAATACCAAGAGGATAGAATCCAGATAGAACTCAATGTCCGGGACAGATTAAGGATATAATAAAAAGGCTTAAACATTAATATTCCATGGTCATAATTTATTCCATTGGAATCGTAAATACGATCCAGTTCATCAGACCTACAAATTCAAAAAGAAAACAGAAAATACAACTCCGGAAATAAAAAATAAAATTTAGAGAGAGTGTTAGTATGAGAGCGTGGGACGAATGTTAGATCTACGAGAGGGGTAACAGACGAGAGAAGGTGGGGAATTAAAATTTAACAGAGAAGTTTTAGAGAGGGGAGTCAAAGACGGTTTAAGTGAGAGAAATATGAATGTTGTCGGATGTCTAATACATTAAAGATGTAATATATCTATATATATATATTTAATATTTTTTTTCAAATCGAGAAATTGAAAAAAATGACCTTTTGCATTTTCATTGCTGCTATTTGCGTCCTCTCCTTGATCATCATTGTTTTAACTGTCAGGGTGATAAAGAGAAGTGTTTATCAAAATACTAAAACGAAGTATGGTGAAACAGATCATGGTTTTGTGAAGTAAAACTTTACCGAAATCCAAAAGAACAACTCAGTTCCATTTTGTTCTATTTTTATGCCGTTTCCAAGAAGTTTTCTTTTTTAAAAAACAAATTTTATTATTAAAATGTTCACTTTGAAGAAGAACAAAGCAAAATAAATTGATATATCAAACTGACGTAATAATATCTCACTTATTATAAAACGCAGATTGTGTGTGTGTCTGTAATGTTTATATATTGGATCGGATTTCCTACATTTTTAGCCGATTTCAACAAAAACTTCTCAGGACTACAAAAATTACCTTGTGGTTTTCTAACAGCGCCGAAAATGGGAAAAAAACACAATTGTTTTTTTTAACAAAATCAATTTGAAAAACACGATTAAGACACATCGTGAGAATGAAAGGGGAACAACTCACATCGTGTTAAAAAAAACACGTTGTTTGTGTGTGTGTGTTCCTTTATATATGGGATCGGATTTCTTACATTTTCAGCCGATAAAAACAAACATTCACTTTTTTTTTGGCAGGTAGTGTTTCTTATTGTCTTGCACACTTTTTTTTCCTTATTTATACATTCAGAATGCTTTAAAAATTCAATTTACAAGACAATTGTTTATAATAAAATTCTATTCAATCCGGAGACTCATCATAACGATTGAAAACAATGTTTTTGTTTGAGTTTGGGTTTGACCAATTCGTAAAAAAATAAAAAAAAATAAATAAAAAACTAAGATATGCGTGTCCGTCAACCTAAACAATAATCTAACGATCTCTACTGATTGTACGAATCGAAACATCGGATAATTTTTTATCTTTAGGGAAAGATAATTCCACGTACTTTAGGGCCGTTTTTACAATTCCCTTTGCAATTTGTTACAAGGCAGATCAATAAGGCATTGATTCTATTTGAAATTAATTCAATATTTAAAAAGAAAGTATTAAGAAATAATTTAAAATGCTGACGTAAGAAATCTGATAGACAAAAAACAACAATATTTCGAAGATGATAATTATTAAGGAAAGAACACAGTACTTACCTTGTAATAAATTAATAAACCCAAATAAAGTTAATATTTTTTTTGTATTAGAAACAACGAGTGGAAAATATATTCAAATCAGAATTCTATTTATGGATTACCACAAGCAAAAATATGCAATTTTTTTTTACTGTATTCAATAAGTAAAAATCATAAATTGTAAAACTAAAAAGATTGAAAAGGCTACCTACATTTTCAACCGATTTCAACAAACTTCACTTTTTTGGCAGGTAGTGTTTCTTATTGTCTTTTTTGCTTTTTTCTTTATTTTTACATTCAGAATGCTTTTAAAAGTCCATTTACAAGACAATTGTTTATAATAAAATTCTATTCATTAATCGATAGACTCATAACGATTGTAAACAATGTTTTTATTTGAGTTTGGGTTTGACCAATTCGTAAAAAAAAAAAAAAACTAATTAAGACATGCGTGTCCGTCAACCTTAAACAATAATCTTTGTCAATTTTATTTTTCAGTCTTTATGATGATCGATACTTGATCTATCTCTTACTGTTACATCCCCGGGCAATGCCGGGCTCTACTGCTAGTTATCTATAAAATGTAATCTATTCTTTATTATTCCAGTCACTTTGACTTTTAAATTGAAATAAAAACGACACAACTTTAACATCAGTTGGAATGTTTCCTTCATAAAACAATTCTAGTTTTTTGACACGAGTACAAAACGCCCATGCACTCGCATTCAAACAGAATTATACGACGTTATACGTCTTCAGACACTGACCTATAATCATAACACCAAATTTTACGCTAAAACTGCGATCCATAGTTGATTATGATGAAAGAGAAACCGCTA